CACACACACACACACACACACACACACACACACACACACACACACACACACACACACACACACACACACACACACACACACACACACTCATTCCAACCACTTCACACTTTTATGGATACATGTGCATGCATTACACATAAACCAATGGCTGCACACTACAACTGAATCTCAAATTAAAATGTCAATTTAATGTGTCGGAAAATTACAATTTAATCTGCAGCCCTACATGGGCAAACATCCAGATCGCACACACGCACTTACAGTGGCCCGGTCCACCTCCCCCTCCGGTGAGGAGAAGTCAAGCTGCCGTCTGGCCCGCCGCAGTGTGACAGGCTGGGAGAACCAGGAGGTGTGTGTGGATACAGATATAGAAAGGATGCAAACACAGATACAGTGATGACATGCGGGGGGGGGGGGCGGCAGGGGACATGCATGATATCGTGTTAGGGCTGCACAATTAGCTTATTATCCTTTGTAATAGACTCAGGTTTCAAATGCAAGCTTTGCTCAAATCAAGCGCTTCCTAAACTAACAGCCAGCCACTAGTGGGGGGGTACACATCTTTTATTTACTTCAAGGAGCTGTGCAGCCCTTCTCCATGGTTACCTCTGAAGCAAGATACTATGTCACAGTTTTCTGTTCTTCAAGACACCTAAACATACACTTGGTTTAGTCATTTAGCTCAGGTGGTTGTTCGATGCTTGGTGAGTTAGCAAAGGAATTCAGAAATGGTAGATACAGTATTGGAGATTACAATGTATCCATAAACACACCATCCAATCCACAATACACAGGATGTATTGTGGATTGACCGTCAGCACACTTCATGCCGTTTCCTCCATGCTGGTTAAACATGCAGAGCTTACCTCGCCATGTGGGAAAGACCAGCAGTCTTTCACACTGCGGCTCACACACACCTTCCCTAACAATAATAATAACGTCTATCCTTGTGTGTGTTTTGTGTGTGTGTGTGTTTCAGTGTTGGTCATACCTCTGTGCTGCTCTGGTTTGGCCCCTGTGAGCCAGGGCCCTCCGCCTCTCCGCCTGCCATCACTTTATCGATGTCCAGAGAGTCCATGCTGGAGGCCGAGGCGCACGCCGAGTTTACACTGGACCTCTGGGAGGGGGCTTCCTGTTCGCTGACCGCGCCCACTGAGCCCGTCCTCCTGTGCTGCCCCCCACCTCCTCCTCCTCCGCCGGACGAGCCCGACGAGGGCCGCCGCAGCGTGGTGGAGGAGAAAGAAGAAGAGGAGGAGGAGGAGGAAGAAGAGGTCTGGCGAGCAGCTTCGTCCATGCTGAGCGAGGCCTTCTCCAGCTGAGAGGTGATGTCGTCCAGGGAGATGTTGGAGGCGGCGGGGCGGGCGTTGACGCTGCCCCCCCGCACCGTGTTGGCCGGCGACGCACGGGTGCTGCTACTGGTGCTTCCTGTTGGACAGATTAACAGCTTAGATGGAAGAAAATCAGTGTAGATTAACTCGTTTTTACTTAAATAATACATTTGTCTATATCACTCACATCAGTTAGATTTCAGGTGCCACATCAACATATGTTTACAATGTGTCTATATTCACATACATTATAGACCCTCCAGAAAAACGCGATTCTGCGATTGCAGGATTTACCGCATAATCAGCAAAATGGCGCAGATTTTTAAAAGGCCTTTTTTCGACACAAAGTTGAGGGGAAAAAAAGTTAACTCGTCTTGACGTGAAGTAGTGATGATGATGATGATGATGACGCCATCAGCTCGCGCATCACAGAAGGTAAACAACACCGTAGAGTGAACGTGTGGAACTCACACGACGAACATTTCTGCTAAAGACCGGGCAAAGCAGTACCCCGATGTATTTCACGATTCTGCACCCCGTGCAACTGTGTGTTGGAGCATACGTCTTAGAGAAAGTCGACGGTGACGACGCGGAGAAGTGTGTGTGATTGAGTGAGTGAGTGTGAGTGTGAGAGAGAGAGAGAGAGAGAGAGAGAGAGAGAGAGAGAGAGAGTGTGTGTGATTAAAATAGCCCCATTGCTTTTACAATAAATAAACATTGAATGTGTTTAATTGAATAGTAAAGGGGGTTTAACGTTAGTGGCAGATTGTGTGTGAGAGAGAATAAATAAGACAGCCCAATATTTTAAAAAAAATCTATTCTTTTTCGCAACTTCCCGCAATTTCACCGCATAAAATCACATAAAAGCCGCATGTTTAATCGCATAATCAAGGATTTTTGCCCGCGTTTTTCTGGAGGGTCTAACATTAGGTAAGGTTCTTGATCAGCGTTTTAAGATGATCAAGACAATGCAGCGGTGAAGTCAGCGCTGGTGAGCACTAAAACCTACATTTCCCCGCTGCAAACAGGAAGCAGATAATTATCCTCTTTTCCTACTCTTTATTGTTACTCTGGGTGTTTTTGGCTTTGGTAAAAAAGGACAAACATGTTTCAGGAAGGCTGCACCACGTCCAGAAACATCATTTGCTCCACAAGAAGAAGAGTGAGTGAGATCTTCCTGTTGAGTACTTCTCTAAGACAAAACAAAGTGGTAAGCACCAAAATGTCTGTGCTCCAGCTTCATCTCTTTACTCATAGTTAGAATACTAAAAGCGCCATCGTTAATACACATCATTCAGCGAGTCTACCTCCGCTGCTCCCCCCTCCGCTGGTGCCCGTGTGCTTGGTGCTGGCACTCCGCCCTCCGGGGGCTCGAGGCTGGCCTTTGGTCTGCCCGCGAGACGCAGAGTTTGGTTTGGAAATGGTGTTGAGCTCCTGTTCGATGGAGCACAGGTCGGCCATCAGGGCGTCCAGGTCCACTGTGTCGCCCTGGTTCAACGCCTCTGCAGGGAGCCAAGAGAAAGGAGAGGGGGGGGGGAGGGGGGGTTACAAACACATTTTGGGGGATTTGTGTTTTTATAATTGTCACGTTCCCTCCTAAACTAGGGGTACAAAGGGAAGTAACAAAATATAAAAAGAGAGAAAAAAGAGAGGAAACTGATTTGGCAAAATGAGTAGATAATGTTTAATTTTCAAACTTAAGATAAACTAAGAACAACTTTCTCCTAAAAAGACTAAAGTAGTCAATGCACAAAGATACACTGGAGCACATCTCCTAACAATGAACAAACCCAAGCTAAACTAACAGGTCTCACACAGAGACAGCACACTACACATGCTGCACATGTCACACATGCAGCCCAGAGGAGAAGGAGAGAGAGGCCGTTTCTCGATGTGGAGTAAAGCTGCTCCAGAGCCACTGTTTCAAGCATGCTACGTCATCGAGGGGCGCCGAACGCTGGGCACTTAAACAGTCCTTCTGCGCCGCTCGATGACGTAGTGTCCTTGAAACAGTGGCTCTGGAGCAGCTTTCCTCGACATTGAGAAACACCCAGAGACTGCAGCCTTCATGGAGGCCCTGGTTGGGGATTGGGAGCACCTGAGGGAGACAATCAGGGGGAGAGAGACACACACAAACACGGCACGGCACTTAACAATTATACTATTTTGTTGTGTGATGTCTCACCGTTTATGTTATACATGGAGAAGCGGTAGGAGAAGTTTGCCATGTTTGTCTCCTGCCTGAGAGGAGCCTTCTGCAGAGGCTTCTGAGGCCTGCCGTCATCCAGACTCTACACACACACAAACACACACACACACACACACAAATCATGAAGTGCACCTAAGCAAAAACACCCTTTGACACAGTGACAGCATAGGATCTAAGCAACCGATATATGCCTGCTAGTGTTGTCGCACACAATCCTGCACAAACGTACAATACCAAGTGGTAGTGGGAGGGGAGTTGCTAGGATACAGTATAGGGAGACAGGATTAGCAGTGTTAAGGTTGCTATGGATACAGCCTCTTCCTTTCTTGCAGCTTTTCTACCTTGTGAGTCTGTGTAACCAACCATCTTGTGTGTGTGTGTGTGTGTGTGTGTGTGTGTGTGTGTGTGTGTGTGTGTGTGTGTGTGTGTGTGTGTGTGTATTGACCTGTGTAAGCTTGTCCAGCTCTCCAAGCCAGGCTCCAAACATTTTGTCCAGGTCCTGGTCCTCCTTATCGCTGTCCTCCTCGGCCCCATGGTCCAACTCGTCGTCGGAAACCTGATCCATCTACAACACAAGCGATACAAAAACAGACTTAAGTAAAGGAGATGATTCCACACACACACACACATTATCAAATCACACCCACATACATAGCAGGAATGATTTAAAGAAGGAAGGAGAAAAAAAAGAAAAACAGCTCATGCCAACCTCACTGCCTGTTACCATGACAACTGCTCACGGACCCCTAGCGGGCACCCTGTGCAGTCTGATGGTCTGAACGTCAGTGTGCAGTTCACAGATGCCTCTACATGGATCTGACACCCCGATGGAGTCCAACATCGACTACATTGACCAACTGAGCGCTTTGCATTTAGACTGGTGCCTCATCCTGTCAATCAAACACTAAGCAACACCAGCAGGTGGTGTCAATGGCTGTCGGGGCCAGAGTGGGTGAAGGATGGAAGAAAGGAAGGGAGGCGTAGCAGGTTGGGAGGCTGTGGTCGGTCAAAGGTGAGGGAAGAGCGCCCTCTACTGGACTACACAGGAAGTGATGTCACTGCAGCTGTATGGCTCAGGTGCACTAATGCTCTCCAACATTTAAAAATGTATATTTCACAGAGGTAACATCATTTAATTAGAATGAAAATGTGTCAATATATGGTTAGGAATTACCATCAAATATACAACTTCACATCCCGACAAGATACTGTTCATATTATTATTATGTTTACGCTTTTAGTATCGAGTTAAAACGAACAACAGCAGACTCCTGAAGCCTCATTCAAGGGCATTTTTTTTCAATAGACAAAGCACTGAGTCAAAACATCAAAATGATGGAGGCACAGCATAGCAGATAAGACTTCCAGAACAGCGCAAAAATAATGTTACGCCCTGACCGTTTCTTCATATCATTCATTTCTAGGCAAGCTGGGAGTCTAACTGTTTAGACAACCCAACCTGAGGAATGCCAACGCACATCGAGGAAGAACATCTAATCTGGGGAGAGGATGTGGAAGTTGAAGGAAAACACGGTGGAGCACATGAGGAGTAACACCTGGCATGCTTTGATAGGCAATAAACTATTTTAGACGGTACAACCTGACACGGTCCCCCCCCCTTAAGATTGTTGGTACAGTCCAATGTGCCCAACACAGTCCAATCAGATGGAATAGTTGCAGGTAATCCCATTGATGTTTTCAGGAGGGGATCAATCCCTCCTGTTAACCACTTTGTTTGGTGTCAGTCACTAGTGGGGACTGTACCAAACTGGGATTAACCCCTCGGATGACCCCTGGTTGTTTGATCCAGCAACAATGTGTGTGTGGCTTAATGCATGCAAGTGTGTCCAACCTAGTTACACAAAGTACTTGAGAGCAATCTGGAGGTCATGCTTTGTTGTAAGAAGGTGATAAAAGCAGGTCATAAAACAGGCAGCAGGTGAGAGGCAATAAAACAGGAACATGATAGCAACACCATTGAAAATCGGTCATCTAAACACACACACGGGAGTTGAGGGGCGCTTGTTTCAGATCAGAGCGTTCACATTCCAGACAGCACACATGGTCCACTCCTTTAAGTCACTGTATGTAGTGCATGTACAAAAAATATACTCCCCCAATCTCCCACCCAAACCCAGCCTTAGTTGGAATTACAAGCCAAAACTATGCGTGCGTTAGGGCTGCTCAATTAATCGTATTTTAATCGCAATTAGGATTATGGCTTGCAACGATTACGAAAACAACGTAATCGAAATATAACGATTTTTTAAAAATTATTATTATTTATTTTTTCTTAATTGGATTTTCAGTTGAGTTATACTTAAAGTTCACGGTAATCAACTGTTAAAAACATACTGCTCACATTTTTTTTCTCCAATAAATTGATGTTTTCAAAGTAAATGGATAATCGTTTTTAATAATCGTGATATCAATTATTGACCCAAATAAATCGAGATTATGATTTTTGCCATAATCGAGCAGCCCTAGCGTGAGTGCGTGCATTAGAGGGTTGATGATGGACAGTTTCCTGTTTTGGCTCACATATCAAACACATGAAACACTTGTCATCTTGTCTAGAAATATGAGGTCTTAAGTTTGTCAACAAAAACAAGTCCCTCATATGTGTGTGTGTGTGTGTGTGTGTGTGTGTGTGTGTGTGTGTGTGTGTGTGTGTGTGTGTGTGTGTGTGTGTGTGTGTGTGTGTGTGTGTGTGTGTGTGTGTGTGTGTGTGTGTGTGTGTGTGTGTGTGTGTGTGTGTGCGTGCGTGTGTGTGTGTGTGCGTGTGTGCGTGCGTGATGATATCCATGCACTGATAATCGTGTGTGGGAGTCAGAACAGGAAATGGCCAGGATGTGCAGAATTCCTAATTTCCCACATGGCCTGTTTCTTGGCAGGAAACTCCGGCTGTCCGTCGGTTTATCCGTGCCACTTACTGGGGACTCTTCTGATGAAGGCACAAATCCTCTTGGTTGACACATTGTTTTACCAGAAAGAGCGTACTACATTTGTTTTAAATCTAAATGACATGCTGCATACCACCGCCAAAGAATAATTGGTGTCAAGTGGCTTCCCTTAGATGTGACTCCATATGGGGCCATTTGGTCACAGACGCATCTATTTGGGGATTCCCCCGGTATGAAAGGAGTTGAGTATCCTCTCTTTAAGACATGACATCATGGCTGTCTGCATGCACACAGGAAGAGGAAATGGCTAAATGAGCTTGAATTGCATTTGCCAATACTCTCTCATGTGTAAATACACCAGCGAGAAAGGAGTGGAACGGCGGGACACTTTTAACAGCTGTGTTTAAACAGCAATAAGCCTGCGGGTCTGTGCAATAGTTAAATAAACACACAGTGCACATTCAATGCGATTGCAAGAAAAATATGAAATAAACCGGATAAAAACTACGCATGGGATCATACCCTCAACGGCAGACGATGCTGCAGGTCTAAGTGAATTACCACCTGAGGGCCTGCTTTCAATGGAGCATGACCTGAGGGATGGGAGGTGTGTGTGTGTACGTGTGTGTGTGTGTGTACGTGTGTGTGTGTACGTGTGTACGTGTGTGTACGTGTGTGTGTGTGTGTGTGTGTGCGTAAATGCACTACACTCAAACCAAACAACCGCCTTGGCCTTTATCCCCTCCTGCTGCCTGTTCCTCTCTCTTGTCCGAGCATGACCAGCGCTCATCTGTCTCCTGCGAATGCTGGGTGACTCAGAGGTCAAGGGTGGAAGGTCAAAGGTCAAAGGTCGCCCCCCCCCCCTGCAGCCATATTTCAGGCTCCATTTAAACACTGCAATGCCGGCAAAAGGGAAGATAAAAAAAGTGTGTTCTGGGAAAAGAACCGCTCGAAATCTGGTGCTGATGAGGATGAAGAGCTGGAGGAGGAAGAGAGGGAGGTCTATCTCTATCTTTAGACGGAGTCGTTCATATCAGAGAGCGTCAAGAGGATTGGAAAAGGGAGCGGTATGAAGAGTAGATGTTACGTCACTTTAATAAGAGGAGAACTGTTCTTCAAAACTTCTAACAAAGAACTCGGGATCAGACTGAAATACAACTAGGTTTGGAGCACCCAGAGATTATACAAACAAGAGTGTTTGGGTGTGACACAGAGCAACATGACATCATGGGTCAGGTAAGGTCTCCATGGCTCGCTCCTTTCTTAATCCAGTTTGCATGATGGGAAAGTAATGTTTTCCATTTGACTAACATTAAGCTGAGTGTGGGATGGACAGACACTTTTACAATTCACCATGCTCGCTATAGAGGAGGACTTTGGATATCGTTAAGTACTGTAACACTCTCACTATAATGTGATTCATTCTAACATAAGCAAGTTCCTTTCTGTTCGTGTCATCCCAATGCTTTTGATCAGCCATTAAGTAAGATTACATTAGTCTTCAGAGTGGTGTGTTTCTAGAAGATGGAGCTCTGTTCTTCCAGTATGGGGGCCATTACTGCTCATGCTAACTATGTTTGGTTATTCTGTTTAAAAGGGGCATTTTCAGACCATTTCTATGAATACAAACCTATAGGACACACTACAGGAGAGGGACAACCCCAAAAGCCTGGTAGGGCCTCTTAAGGCATCTTCCTGCATGACATTGGCGACTGTGGCTGCGAGGGAGTGCGGTCGTCTTTCAACCAGAAGGTTGTGGGTTCGATCCCAGCCCATGCAGTCAACATGTCGATGTATCCTTGGGCAAGATACTTAACCCTGAGTTGCTCACGATGGCATGGCCAACGGTGTGTGAATGTGTATGCATGTTAGTTCCTAGAGTAACATACACTGCTCTGTATGAATGGGTGTGAATGGGTGAATGACATGTAGTATGCAAAGCGCTTTGAGGGGTCTTAAAGACTGGATAAAGCGCTATATAAGTACAGTCCATTTACCATTTACATTGGTAATGCTTGAAAACGCCCAAATTAATATTCTGTACTTCTCCATACACCGTAGGTCATGTAAATGTTTCGGGCTGAAGATAATGAAAAAAAAATACACAAAACCGCTTACTGAATCCGTACCATTTTCAAATACAGGGCAACATGTCCCTAAGCCAAAGCCCTTCACTGCTTCAGCACCACCTGTTCCCACTTCCTAGTTGACATTCAAATGATGAATTGCATCTAACATTTGAGTTATCCTTTCGTATTTCAATCACACAGGAAATGGGAGGGCTGGGATGTGGAACATTACCATGGCTGTGTAAATACTATTGTGGCCAGAAGCCCTCCCGCTGTGATGAGTGAATTCTTCCATCAAGCACTTCTAAATAGACCATTTTTGGACCAGATACTCGACACTGCATGTGTGTTGTAAAGTGGCAATAAGGACAGTGGAGGTTAATGAAACCGGGCATTAGCTCCTTAGCTCTCACCAACGGAAAAAAACTGGGAGTGACACAGAAAACTGGACCTCACAGCTATTTCCTCTGAAAGTATCCTTACAAAAATAAACGTCTGACACCTCTTGACTAAAAATACCCTCGACAGATCATATCATCTCAACAAAGTAAGCCGAAAATGAGAAGAAAAGCACCGGAAAGGACTGGGCAAGGGTTTTGGAAACAACACAACGCTTATAGAAACTCAGTGAACTGTTATGAGGCTACGCTGAAAATACAGAGCGGGAATTGTTGAGAGTTTAGTGGCACACAAGCGCTACACAATGACGAACGTCTCCGGGGGCAAACAGAGTGAACAAGTAAAAACATTTAGCATACCCGTGGCTAGGAATAGCTCCAGACATACACCAGGGAGGGTTTAATAAATCTAAACGGTGCTGATGGACTCTGGGGAAAGTGTGTGTGGGAAACGGTGAGTGAATAGAGGGTCATTTTGAGAGAAGGGCACACCCTAGTTACGTTATATCTTTCAATATCAAAGCTGCCGTGTGTTCCAGTGCTGCTGCGTGTAGAGATATGTAAATATAAGCAAAAATAGTTTCATGTAAATCCCCCTGTGACTAACCTCCTTGTTAAAATCCAGCCATGTAAGCCAGGGTGTTCCTGAAACTAATTTCAATCAAACTAAAAACATGGTTAATCAACTTCTTTACCATGTGTTACATAACATTCTGATATGTGGTAATCTTCCCCTTAACATGACATATGATGGTGTAGGTGTTGAAAATAATGCCCTTCATTTCCCCTCTCCTCCCGACTGCCGCCTTCCTCTTCCCTCATGTCATCCCTGACAGACTATGAATCACCTCTTACACATACATGTGTCTGATGGTCATCATAGCCTATAAAACTCAAGCCATAAAACACAAACCGAAATGCAAAGTGTCAAGATATCGTAATGACATCCTGTGGCGAAAAACACTTAACAGCTCCAGACAGCCAGACAAAAGCATCTGTCCGGAGTGAACAAAGCCTTTTACTGCTGCTCTCAATGTTTGCTATGAGACATTAAACGGATACGATCTCATTGTAAATGTGCGAGGATGTAAGGATGGCTATTTCCAGGCTCATGTTCTCAGCCTGTGGGTTTTTTGCTCACTTTCTTCCAGTGCTTTGATTGTTTTCCTGGTTGACTCAAATAGACAAGTTAAAAGAGGAAATGTGGCCAAAAGCTGTAGCTACCAGTGCCAGTAAAAGAAATTAGAAAGTGAGAGGGAGAGGCTGGTCGGACGCTGTCCAAACTCAAACAGGGTGGGGTTGGCTTTTCATTTGACATGGAGTAACCACTGAAGTTTAACACGGAAAATGTGTGTTCTCGCTCAATTAAAAATGTTGGGTGGGAGCAGAAAAAGGTGTATGACTTGTGACAGAGTCAGAGCTTAAAAGAGTGGAGGGATATCCAGTGATGGTGAAAAGTGTTGTCTTCAAGGAGTTCCCAGTAGACGGGGGTTTTGAGTAGCTTCAATGAAAATCTTCAGACATTTCGTCCTGCAGAATTAAAAAACCAAACATGTAGAAAACTTTGCACACGTCACATAGAGGATGAGAGAGAGGGAGCATAAAGGAGAAGGAGGAGTGATGGGTAAAGAGAGATAAGACCAATGAGTAAGCGGTGGGAGGGGTGAAGCAGGGAATGATGAATAGGTACAATAATGGAGGGAGGGCGCCGGCTATTAGGCTGTGAATAAAGGGGGAGGCCCCGATGGCCAAATCAACAGCTCCAGTGTCGTCTGTCAAGCACGACGACAGCCTGCGAGCAGAGGAGGACACACACACACACACACACACACACACACACACACACACACACAAACAACTACTGCTCTGTCTGGAGGGAGCAAGTTC